GTTTTTTATGAGAGTATAACATTATAACATGATATAAAACTCAAAAAAGTTGATTTTACATGATATTGCCCCATTAATTATTGTTATTTCTGTATTATTTACTTTAGATTTAGTCAGTCGTACACTTAGTTCTGTCCAGTGTTTAGAAGAGGATGTGTTAAACACAGTTTAGTCAAAGTTAAACATGCAACGTCAAAGTTAATTACAGCTGGCCCTTTAAGGGCCACCGTAACGTTCATGTGTCCCTTGGTGAAAATGAGTTTGACACCCCTGATTTAGAGGATGTGTTGAGGATGACACTCAGCTATCGCTACATCCTATTTTATTCCAGTATTTGTTAAACTGACTGAATTATAGACATGTTGTGGTGGCCAACCTGAACTGAACTTACCCCAACATTTAATCAGTAGTAGACATAAATCCAGCRAGTAGTTTCTGCAAGTTTCATTAAAATTCGTCTGCTGGTTTATGAGCTATAATGGTAACAGACACAGATCGGAGAGAGAGAAGTGTCTGTGCAGGTAATAATACTGTGAAAAACTCAATGTTCTCTGAATTTTAAGCAGGCAGCTAAAAGGCTTATTAACTGTTTAAACAGTTATGTTTTCCCACATATTGTGTTTTGTAACGGGACAGATTGACACATTTACTGAAAACACRTGAAAAAAGTGAAACCAGACATTTTAATATACAAAATATTCATAATACTAAACTCTGTGGTTGCTTTCTTTTCATTTTCACATCACTTTGAATGTAAATCATCAATTATCTGAATCTTATCAGTTTTCAACCCGTTTGCTGATGCAGGTGGGATTAGGGTCCACACTGAATGGGTTTTTATGGTTCAAGCCAACAGGAAACACGTGTTCATAAGTGCACCATTTCTTCCTCTTAATGCCAATTAGGTGAGCTTGTACTCTGCGCTAGATAAAGAAAGAGAAAAGCCACTTAAAGGAATAGGAAACCTGGAGAGGTACTTATCATCACAATGACATTTGCACATATTAGTCAGGACAAAAAAAAATATGCAGCTACGCACCAGGATTTCAGCTCCTCTGCTGTAAAAGAAGCATTAATCTGTGGAAGTAATCAGAAGCACAATAAATACTATCAAAGTAGGACGAAAACGGGACAAAGCAAATAACATTTTTCAATTAACAATCTAATCTTCCCTCTGTGGTGTGGGGCCACTGCTGCGCTCAGACAATGGTGAAAAAAATGCATTTCCATTCTCAGCAGCRCCTCCGCTGAGCGAGCTGTACTTTCCTGAAACAACAGGCAGGCTGGGATGTAAAACACTCTCTAATTAGTGTTTTCTCCTGTTTTTCTACATCCATTGATTAACTATTGTAYTAAACACAATCATGGAAATTATGTATTTAAGATGCCCAGTAAAGGTCCAGTAGCTGGCATTTATTTCTGTTAAACTAGACCTAATTAAGATGATATTAATGATAAAATAGGAGAACAGAGTTAACGTTAAACTCTTAAAAGTGAGATGGTGTGTGAGTGTTTGATGGCAGTTAACTTGTTAATTTATTCACATCTTCCCTCTTTGTCTTTAATATTAATCAGATATTCCAGAATAAGACCCACTTCAATTTTTCAGCTCTTTTTTGCTGTAAGGCTCAAGAAAATCTTTTCCCTGGGTTTATTAGGCCACCGGAGAGGTTCGGCCTGGAACGTATTTTGTGCGGAACGATGCCAGGAGAAAGATGATGACACAGGCACTTCAATCTGCTCTCACCGAGACGCCTGAAATGACCAGAACATCATMGGTGGAGGAATGAAATGTGCTGAAATTATGTGTAAGCACCTCTGAAAGTATGAGTCTATGAAAAGTTCCAAGCTGGAAGAAGACAAGGACGGGGCCACAGCAACACTTCACGCTTTTAAATTCGACCATTTCTAAGATTCAGGTCGTCCATGCTGAGTTTGTTTATGTGTTAGCTTGCTAACAAAGGTTTAGCAGCTTTAATCTAATTCTAACGCCTCATTCAAAACCTGCCTGTTTATTGTTTGTTTTAGTTGAATCATTAAAATTTTTCTTCACTTCCTTGCTTTTATTCATTGACTTTTTTCTTTTGATTTGTTTGGTTTTGTTCATTTTGTTGATTAGCTTTTACCTCATTAAAGATGTAAATACAATTTTCTTGTGAATTGAAAAAAGTCAAGAAACAAAGTACGATAAAAACATAATTTGAGAGAAAAAAAACATTCTGTCAGAATCTTTTTGTTAATCTTAAAAATTCTGTTGGTTGCTTGAATTCAGCATGGACYGATTGTGTTGTTTTCTTGGTAATTTAGCGATTAGTCGTTCATTTTCTTTTCTTTTTCAATGAGATTTGGAGAATGATGCTGCAGAAAATGTAACTGTCTGAAAGCTCCAAACCAGATGAGTTATTTCTAAATAATAACTATTATCTCACAACATTGAAAACACATTTAATCTTTTTAACTGATTTTTGTTTTTTGAGTTAAATATTAAAGCTTCTGCTACTGACTCCACGAAAGGAAGTTTACTTTGGATTTAAAGGTTCTGAAAATTAACGATGCATTTCAGAAAAAAATGACTGAAACCGCTGGTCTTACATCAGATCATAAATAATTGATTTACTGTAAAAGATCTGAGAGCACAGAAAGCCCCTTTATTACATTTATGACTTCCTGCCAAAAGTAGTTGTCACCACAAATGACAGGCTTTAATATTTAATGAAATTACAAAGACACTAGAGGAATATTGAATCTCTACCATTTTTTTTTTCAGTCAAAGATCTTTGCTGAATTTTAAAAACATAAACATTACTTCAAAAAGTTGAGGCCTTTTTTTCCACAAAATACCTGCAAGAAACACAACCCTGTTTCTGACAAGGTGGAGACGTTGTGAAAGAAGTAAATAAAAAAACACTGTAATTACAGCGGGTAAAATAAATATTGAACATGTCATCATTTTTCTCAGTAAATATATTACTAGAGGTGCTAAYGACATGAAATTTTCACCAGATGTCGGTAACAACCCAAATGATCCATACATACAAAGAAATCAAACCATAAATGTCCAGAAATGAAGTTATTTGTAATAATGTGGAATGGCACAGGGAAAAAGTATTGAACACATGAAGAAAGGGAGGGTTTAAGCCAAGACACCAGCTGAACTCTCTCAGTAATTTCGAAAGCAAGCCTGCCCCTTGTCAGTGCAAATTAATATCAGCTGGTTCAGACC